TGTGGTCGCTGGGAGTTGAACTCAGGACCTCTGACAGAACAGTCAGTGCTCCTAACCACTGAGCCATCTCTCCAGCCCCTCCCCCCACCCCGTGTCCTTCTTCTTAAAAGCACACTGCTCCCAATACCACTGTGTCTTTGTTAGGAATATTTCCCACAGGGTACCGTGGTCCTGTACAGTGGCTGCCAGGCTGCACTCCAGCAAAGCTGAACGGACATACTTCTGATTCCGTATGACTCTGACAGTGGCTTCATACTCTGACTTGTTTTGTGAGAACTGGGATGTGTATGATAAGATCTCAAGCTAGTTTATCTTGATGTTCACTTTGTTCTCAATACTGAGTTGTCTGCCCGGAAAGGAGCTCCCCTCCGAAACACTCTTCAGACTGGGTTGTGGGGTGGGGGCGCCTGCTCTGGGCCTGGTGGCACCTGCTGGGTTGTGTGGGGGGCGCCTGCTCTGGGCCCAGTGGCACCTGCTGGGTTGTGTGTGGGGCGCCTGCTCTGGGCCCAGTGGCACCGGCTGTCTGTGTATTTGGTCCTTTGCTCTTTCTTCCCATAGCCTTATAACTAACCTTCTGTGTGCTATTGGGAAAGTAGTTCTTCCACTCTGAGGCCAGAGCTCTGTGAAGACCTACTCTGTGCTGTCAGTTGACCACTTACACATGGCCTGTGTCTGCCATTTGTTTAAATATCCAGTGGATCCCATGGCTATCTGAAGATCTTTCTATCACAGCTAGCAGAGCCTGGCTGCAGAAAGAAAACTTCCCAAGTGTTCACTACCTGTTACATTCCATGTTCTAGGACCTCTGTAAGAAAGAGGAGGTGTGTAGGAAAGGAAAAAAAGATCTTAGAAACAAACATGGAGGACAGCTGTGAACTGTGGCCCTGGCCTCTCTGAGGTGCTCTCACCTTTCCTTCCTGTGAGACTTGAGGCAGAGGCAGCTGTTTCCTCCTGTCATGGGGTTGAAGCTGTAGAGAACATCCTGCCCTCAAGACCAGAACAAGCCTGCGGTCTAAGGGTGATCTCCGAGGCAGGCAGTGACTCAGATCCAGAGAAGCCGGAAGTTGGTGCTAGGGGAGAACTCGGAGCTGGCCCTCACATAGGTTACACTGAACTTCACAATACGAGTGCCAGCTCTGAGGACCACTGGTCTGAGTGAAGAGGGCAAAGCAAGCACTTCTCCATAAAGGAACAATGAGCAAGACAGTCCCTGCTCAGGGCTGCCTGCCTTAGGGCTGTAGGGAAAGGAAGAAAAGGTGACATGTTGTTTAAAGTATGCTATGGAAGGTGCCTGGGGCTTAGTGAGTGCTGAACTCAGACATCAGCCAAGTGATTCCCAGAAGTCTCTCAGTGAGAGGAAATCCAAGTGTCAGCCTTGGCATCATCCTCAAAAGGAATTTGGGAATAGGAAAGACATCTTTTCTTTGTTATGCAAGGTATCTTCAACAGAAGCTTACCACCATGGGCATCTGAATTTTCCAACTCTCCTTCAGGTATGGAGGACACACTCAGTGTGCTCAATGTGTAAGGGCAATAGAGCAGGTAATTACCCATGCCTTTAGGGCTGGGGACCCTGGGAGGATGTCCTTCCCACCACCAGTTCCTCTGTTGCCTGAGGTCTTCAGAGAACAAACCCAAAAAGGCCCTTCCCCAGGACCAGCACAGGGTGAGGTCACAGGCTGGTGTGAAAGACCTTAGGGCCAGCCAGCCAAGGCCCATGGGCCTTCACCAGTAAGGATAAGGTGGTGCTCCCCCTAAGGCTCTGCCTCCAAAGCTGCCCTCAGCATGTTTTAGGGCTCATAGCTGATGATAATCCTGCAGCCGTGGAGATGGAGAATCTCACTTGGATCTCTTTCTGGTTTGCTCGATTCCCCTCTCTCCTGGTCACCTTCATTTCTATCACTGTACCTTCAACACATTGGGGTGCCAAGAGACCAGTGACAGCCTTGAAGCCTTCTTTTCTCAGGTGTGCACCTTTTGCTGTGGTTTTGGGAAGTGTCCCTTGGAGGCTGTATTAGTCTTGGTCCCTGCATAGTGCTGTTGGGAGCTGGGGAGCTGGTGGGAGTCTTTAGAGGCGGGCCTCGTGCTGAGTTTCCTTGGCCATTGGAATGCATCCTCCTTCCCCCACCCCAGTTTCCTCTGCCATTGCTTTGTCTGGCCACGGCTCTCCTGTGGACTGGCACTCATCTTTGGTCTTCCAAGTCTCCATCAATGCACATCTGCCACCTCTGCTTGCTGCAGTCACGTCTCTATTGAGGTATCGTCTCTGTCTTTAGCATAACTTCCTCTTCTGCTTCCTTTTGTGGCTTAAGATAATGGTAGGCGTTTTCAGTCTCTCCCACTTCATTCCTGATGTGAGAAATCCCATGCAGTAAACTCCTTCAGTTTCCCAGCAGCTGTCAGCTGTTTTTTGCCCTTCTGCCCTGAGAAGACACTCTAAAGGACACATGAGGGCTCCTCCACCCCTGGTGATCAGGCTATTGAAATAAGGGATCCCAGGCTATTGGAATTCCCCCAGGAATCTCAAGGTGAAAAGAAAAAGGATGGAGCCTGGGATGCTGGTGCCAGTTGGAGAAGTTTGTCTCCCTGAAAGAGACCTCACAGGGTTGTCACTTGTCACAGAACCTTGCAGGGGAGGCTGGAGCCAGGACAATGACAGCCCATGATGAAGAGAACTGCATCTTGCCCAACTGCTCAGTGATGTCTCAGTCATCCTCTCTCTATCCTGAATCTCACTTCAGGGCCCTGGAAATGGATTTGAGGGGGACAGGGTACTGGGCCTCCCCCCAGTGTGGCCATATTGAACACATCTTTCTCTGCTTTTTATTAGTGCTCAGTCTCTTTTACTGGCTGAGGATGGGTGGCTGAGCCTCGCTTGTTAGGGACTGTCAGAATACAGGTTATGATCCTAACAGTTTTGGATACATAACTTCTTTTCAAAGAGTTTTGACAGATATGACAGACATGAACAGCAAATACAGCAAAATAGCAGCTGATATTCCACATGTGAGTTTCTAATTCTAGCCTGCTCACTTCTCTGCACACTTGAAATTAAAGCAATATTTGCCTATTTATTTATTTATTTATTTATTTATTTTAAGGTTTTTTGCTTGTTTTTTGTTTGTTTTTTAGATAGAAAGTTGTCATGTAGGCTACATTGGTTTTAGAATTCACTATGCAGTCCAGACTAGCCTTGAACTTGCAATTCTCCTGTCTCAGATTCCTGAAATTGCTAGTGCTGAACCATCATTCTTGGATAGCTCTAATACAGATTTATTATCTATTTACTTTTTGGTTTTTGAGACAAGGCTACACATAGCCCAGGCTGGCCTTGAACTCTTGATCCCCCTGCCTCTCTAGTGGAGAGATTACAGGCAGATAACCACAATGCCAAGCTTAACATCACAACTTTAGAAACCAAATCTTTTTGAAACTAAAGGTATTGTAGGGGCTTGGGAAATGATACCCAACGTGAAGACTTCCCAAGCAGTGTCTCTGGCCTTTTGCTTAGCTTCTTGTCCATTAACCCTCATTCTGTCCCAGCGGCAAACTGTAGAAACCAAAATTCTTCATTTTCAAGACGGGCCATAGACATGATTACTGCCATTCTGCAAACCAGCAGAACCTGAAACACTGCATGGATTTCCTCCCACTTTTCTGTGTGAGAACTTGCCACAAACAAGTTGTGTACCCTACCTTGTATGTCCCAGAAAGCATTGGGCTCTAATTCCCAGAAGGAAAGAGGGCATCATAGAGCAGCCTAGGGAGTCTGCAAAGGCCTTGCTAACCCCCTCCCGCCACTCCATGCCCCCAAGTCTAGCAGTAGATAAAGGCCTTTCCTGGGATCACATTTCTATCCAAATGACCATGCTTAGTGGAAATTAAGTAAAGATGTAGACAGTTCACCCTAGCTGGGTCTTTGGCCTTAGTAAGAAGACTGAGTTGTACCTTTTTCCATCTTTTGTCATTAAGGTGTGGCTCTAAAGGATGGTGGGAGACAGCTGAGCCCTTTCCTGCTCCCCCAGCTGCCGCCATTATGTTATGTCTGCTCTCTCTCTCTCTCTCTCTCTCTCTCTCTCTCTCTCTCTCTCTCTCTGTCTGTCTCACAGACCCGCCCCATGTTCACTCTGCTTACAGTCGGCTTTGTGATTGGAAATCCAATGGCTCAACCACCCATCCAAGAGCAGTTTATACTTTGCTCTAGGGATTGGCTAACCATCACCAGGCTGTTCAGTTTTATTTCCCTAAGTGGGATCATATTCTACTTCAAAAACATAAGCAAATAGAGTCGTAACTCCCAACTGTTTTGTGTAATCCCTGGGATCAACCATCAGAGATTTCCCTATGGGAAAATCTGAGGCTCTGAGAAACAAAGGTTGAGGGAAGTAGTCTGACAGGATCCGTTCAGGGCTCCCAAGGGCGAGTAGGTTTTCTTGCTAAGTAAATGACAAGAAGTTAGCACTTTTCCTATATTTCCATTATATTCATATAAAAATTAAGGAAAGTGTATTTACCATCATAATCTAATGAAGATCTTGAGTACATAACCAAGACAAGTGAGAATATGGCCTCGGGAAAAGCTTGCTCATGACGGTTCTTATTAGGATTGCTCACCATGGCGCAGGATAGGAACACTGCAAATGTCCATCAATGTCGAATGGACAGACCGTGTGTGGAATATCAGCATAGCAGATTCCTCAGCAGAGGGGTGGTGCTGACAGTGGGAGGCAACATAAAGGACCCTCGAAGATAAAGTCAGAAACAAAAGTCCACACATGGTCCCGTGTACGTAAAATGTCCAGAGTAGCCCAAACCCAGAAATAAAAGTTTATTAGTTTATCTCCTTGGGCTAGGAGCAGGTCAGGGACGGCGATTGCTTATGGGTGCAGGGTTCCTTAGAGAATAATGCAAAGGTTCTAGCATTAGATGATGATTACTCAACTTTGTAAACATAATAAAATCACTGGGCTATGCAATTTAAGTGAGTGACTACCATGGCATATGAATTATAGCTACATTTATTTTACATTCAATGAAAAGCAACTTCCTACTTGATCCTGTTTTTTAGGAGCCATCAAGGAATGGGGTGAGGGGGAACATTCTGGATATGATTAAACCGTCACTTGGTCTCTGTTTGACCAGGGTCTACAGGGTGCTGGCCAGGGTTCCCCAGCCTCCTCTCCCCATCCTCCCAGGAGCAGTAGAGTTCCCACTGGCATCTCCAGGGCTGATATCTGCGTGTCTTGGATTCCTGGTCACCGACCATCCTCAAACAACCATCCCACCTGTCTCCACGTCCCTTTTCTCCTGAACGGACTACACCCACATCCTTACACATTTTTCACTCCTTCTTTGCTTTACTGCAAACAATACATGCTCAAAAAGTTTCTGGAGTGAGGGTGAATGAACTTGGAAGTAAAACTTAGAAATCTGCACTTGATATTTAAAAGATGAAGTTTTGTACTTCAAAATGCGCTTGTTCCCATAAAAAGATGTCCTCCCACTTGTAAAGTTTAGTAATTTTTGATATCTCTTGCACAGATTGTATTTTTTACAGAGAGTCATCTAATTATTTTATTACCGGCAGTAATGTAATTTTTACATGTTTATACATTTCAAGGAAAATATGCAAGCATCACAAACAGAAAATTTCAACTGTAAAATTGAAATTTACACCAATAAACACGGAAAACTATGTGCTACCTTCACTTGCTTATGCAGGATCCAAAGAATGCGGGCAAACCCTAAAAATGTAGCAGAAGCATTTCCGCACACTGGCATCAAAATCTAGTTTGTGCAGAAGTGTTTCCACTAGATTCATAGAGTATTCTTTGGAGAAAAGGCGTGGCAGGCAGGCAGTCATCTGGTTGCCCTCCGGACTTTCTGCAGCTCCTCAACAGGCTTCCATTGCTGGTTGATGGTTATAAGCTTTAAAAACAGAAAGCAATACGCGCTGTTAACCATCTACTCTCCAGCCTCACACTTCTTTGGAGGAATCATTTATACACACACCTACATACACACTCTCTGAAACAAGCACAGATAGCAGCAGACTGGGGACCAGGGAGAGCAGTCATACACCTGTCTTGCTTTCATTAGAAGTTTCAAGATTATTAATTTGCTAAAATAGCATTTAAATTCAAGAGGCACATTCGTTCCTTGAAAATGGATGTACAGCCGGGCAGTGGTGGCGCACGCCCTTAATCCCAGCACTTGGGAGGCAGAGGCAGGTGGATTTCTGAGTTCGAGGCCAGCCTGGTCTACAGAGTGAGTTCCAGGACAGCCAGAACTACACAGATAAACCCTGTCTCGAAAAACCAAAAAAAAAAAAAAAAGAAAAGAAAAGAAAAGAAAAGAAAAGAAAAGAAAGAAAGAAAGAAAGAAAGAAAGAAAGAAAGAAAGAAAATGGATGTACGATGGTTGAAACACAAGGAAAGGCACACAGTAGTCTCTTAAAACTTCCTCATTGCAATTGCTTCATGAAGGTATAAACGACCCAGTCAGTTCCCAGTCAGACATCCTGACATTTGCCTTTACCAGTGTTATCTCATCCCAGACCCTGGGAGACAGACACAAAGTTACAAAGATCCCAAATGTCCCTCTTGACTTAAATGTTATCAGAGTTTTGCTTTTAGTAGCTTTTGTTTTGCTAACAATCCCAAATGATGTCCATTCTGACCCCATGCTTCTAGCACTTCAGAATATTTAAGTAGCAAAATCGAACACCTAGGCCAGGGAGATGGTGAGATGACACAGTGGGTGACCAAGGCTGACTACCTGACTGACTTTGACTTCCGGGATCCACATGGTGGGAGAGAACTCCATACATAAGCCATGACACAGGCATGACTCCCAGCCCAAAACAAATAATTAAAAATAAATGCTTAAAAATAAAACCTTTGCAATAGTGTAGCTAATTCCACTGCGAACAAATCCACTCCCATTTTTAGGAACTGCTACTGTTCATCACATCTTATATTAATTTTAGGTAAATAATAAGGAAACAATATAATTTCAGTAATATAAAGGTTTATATCTAGGTGCTTAATATAGGGGCTGGGCGCTATGCTAACAGGCTCTGGATTTTAATGCTTTTAGCTCTAAGGGCAAGTTTTATTATCATACTCATTTCACAGATTCAGAGAAGCCAAACTGTCCCTAGTCCTCTATGTAGAACAGAGGAAGAACTTGAACTAGGTCTCTAGACCACTGTTCAAGGGACTCTGAATGTCACTTTGTAACTGTAAGGACTGCATGCAGTCTGCTTTGCTCAAAAAAAAAAAAAAAAAAAAAAAAAAGCTTTGGGTTGGGCATGTACTGGAAATTCAGCAGTACCTTTTGGGGTTGAGTAGGATCCACCATTTCCCAAGGTTCTGGGTTTCTTTTTCGATCAATACTAAAAGAAAAGAGAAGATTAATTAAATGAAGGTAAATTTGTTTACACAAACCCCGAAGAGCTATTGGATCTATAAACTTTCTGGAGACAGACTCTCTTCACTCTGAAACTACACTCCAGTCACCAGCTAAACTTTAGTAACAGCTGAAGTTAAATAAGGGTTCCCTGAAAATTCAGGGTTTCTTTCAAGCTTTAAGGATCTCTTCCTCCGTGGGACAAGGCAAGAGGTCTATGCTTTATTTGATAAGAATAGAAACTGCTCTCACAAACAGGCAGCGATGGATATGTAAGTGGCAGGCTGAGGAGGAGCAGGCAGAGCCCCCGGGGATTCTAGGAGGGGTGGGGCGGAGGGTAGGCTTGAACTGTGTAGGCATTGGCTCCAGGCACCACCCTCTACCTGTGTTAGAATCACTGTCTCTGACCCTGGACCAGACATAGTCAGTTTCAGGGATATCTTTTCCTGCATCCCAGGAGACAAAGCTTTTTTACTCTCCCTTTTCCAAAGCTGAGACTAGAGTTTGTTGCAGACAGCTGTATTGAAACATTCTACCACATCAGGAAAGAAAAGTTGACATTTTGAAACTTAAAATGATTATGTTTGATGGTATGTGCCCCTAAATGTTTTTAAGTACTTCAACTTAAAAGCTTAAATTTAAAAAGAAATCAAATTTTACTTCACTGCAGGAGAGTGGAGGGGTCAGACATAAGAAACAAATGTAACCAGAATTGGTTACATTTCTTTCTGTTACCAGAACTTTTTTTCAGTCCAAGTTTTGGTGCTCTTATTCATAGGAAAAACCTAGACACTGACAGCTTGTGTTTCAGAATCTCTCGGTCAGAGAAAAGCTCCCCCAGACAGCCGTACACAGAAGGCGTTAGTACTTACACCACGTCGGTTTTTTTCAAAGCATACAAACCGAAAGATGTGGCTCCAATGGCGGCCACGCTTATAAAAAACGCCAAAGGAATGAGCTGAGAGAGAACAGGTGGGGGATAAACTCCGTAAGAAACTTCGAAATATAACAAATTCAAAATCTTCATCATCTTTCCCCTCTTTTTAAAAATGAAAACTCTCAGAAGAAGTAAGTAAGTTAAGATTAGAAACGTACTTCCTTATTCTTCATCAATCTCTGGAAAACGCCCATGATGACTTTAATGTAGAATTCCAAATCTAGAATAACGAAAAATCCAAGATATTGGTCAAAAACATCTTCCCCCGGACCCGGGCACCCAGCCGTCCAACAGTCGCAGAAGGCCCGGCGACCGCCCGCTCCGCAGAACTTTTCAGAAAGGAGACGCACCTAGGGCGGCTGCGGCCAGGAGATGTTAACGCCCAGAAGCGAGCGGGCCTTATATGCAGCCAACCGCTCGGGAAGGGCCGCGCGTCCTGGTCACGCGGGACCGATCCCACCGAGTCGCACTGACAAGCTCACGTGCGCCCCCTGCAGGACGATAGCTCAGCGCTGCCGCTGACCGCGGTCCTTCCTTGCGGTCGACCGTCACTTTCTGTCCTAGTCCTGCACCTCCAAACGTCTGGAGCATTCAGGTTCCAGTGTGAAACCCAAGACCTGAGTGAAGGACAACCAGCTCCTTTAAAAAGGAGGGGTGGTAAGAGGGGTAAGGGAGGGCAGGGGCTCCAGCGCTGGCTGCCACCTTCACCCCAGTACCAGGAAAGGATGCCAGATGCAAAGTGGGGTAAATTTGTACAAAATCAACCACATAAAAGCTCCAAACGTGATACATTGCGTATATGGAGATTATTTAAGAGTAAATTGTAAAGTTCAGATTAACTCCAACAGTGTCCTCATTTCTTCTTCTTCTTCTTCTTCTTCTTCTTCTTCTTCTTCTTCTTCTTCTTCTTCTTCTTCTTCTTCTTCCTTTTCCTCTTCCTCTTCTCCCTCTCCTCTCTCTTCCACTCTCCCTCTCCCTCTCTCTCCCTCTCTCCCTCTCTCCCTCTCTCCCTCTCCCTCTCTCTCCCTCTCTCTCTCCCTCTCCCTCTCTCCCTCTCCTCCTCTCTCCCTCTCCCCCTGTCCCCCTCTTCCCCTCTCCCCCTCCCTCTCTCCCTCTCCCCCTCTCTCCCTCTCTCCCTCTCTCTCCCTCTCTCCCTCTCTCTCCCTCTCCTCCCTCTCCCTCTCCCTCTCCCTCCCCCTCCCCCTCCCCCTC